GTATTTACGCTGAAAACTGACTGTCCTAAAATTAGGATTACATCAATATCTGAGAAATTATGGGGATAATACAGAACTGGAGTAACCAGACCTTTCTCTTGGGCCTCCTCTATCCTGTAGTCTCCATCAGCTATTAATCTCCGTTCCTTAGTCCCCATTTCATCACATGTAAAATGAGATAGTAACACCTACATCACAGCAAAAGAAGAACTTTTTTTCTGGTTGTAAGGTTAAAATGAGATGTATATGAATATATACATTTTTTAAAATCTTAATTCTAACTATTTCCCTTTTGGCCTAGAGGTGTCCCAGTGTTCATGTGCAACCATGTCCATGCTCACTCCATGTGTGGCTTCTCAGGGCTACCAGTGAAGCCACCCGGGATCAAAAGCTTCTGACTGGGCAATGCTGAGCTTATTGTCTCTTGTGCCATGTGGCCAGAGAAGTGAGGATGGGCACAGCCCTTTTGCTCGTTCTTGATTAAGTACCTAAGACATTTGCTTTGACTTTTTTTAATCCAAAAAAGGTATTACCAAATCAAACCCGCAAGCCATTTCTTCTGTCTATTTAAAATTCAATTGATAAACTTTTTTTTTTTTTCAATTAGCTCATGAGGATACAGTTCCTCAATTCTGCATTATTTCTTCTGAACAAAATAGACAAACAAAAAATACCTGAAAAGGAGTACTTGGACCGGTCCCATGGCACGGTGGTTAAGCACCGTGCGTCTGGAGCCAGATCTCACCTGTCAACTATGGTAGAATCCTCGCTTCAGGAGTCTGAAAAGCATATACATGCCCCAAATTTGATGAGATGGAGAAATAGAGGAAAAGGGATTGTGGTATGATCACACTCCATTGGAGGGTGCCTTCTCTCTTCTCTCTCTCTCTCTCTCTCTCTCTGGCAAGCATGTGACCTCTGGAAATTTCAATAAAAAACATTTTTTAAAAGAGGGGCTACATTTTCTCTTAAATATAATGATGATATTTCAATTCAGATGAAGTATTGGGTTGTCAGAAAAGTCATGACACATTTTTGCATAGAAAAACAGAAAAAATATGTCATGACTTTTCTAATGACCTAATATTTTTTTTAAAATGATATTAGAATATGTACAGTTTTCTCTCCAATGTGGTTTCCAACACTGATGGGCTATTAAGTCCTATGCACTGAAGAATCTATACACTATAAAACTAAGTATATCAAAACTGGTTCGTCGTTTTTATATTATACTCTCCTTTAAGACCTAAGAAATAACTAAGTATTGACTCTTAAATATTAAGGCCCTCTTATTGAACCAATGCCAACTGCTTGACTTTAATTGAAAGTCAGAGCACTAAAAATGGGCTCAACATTTTAAATCCAATATAATAGCCGTTGAGTGACCAAAAGAGTGGACCTTTATGTATTGAGTTCTCATTAAATGAAATCTTGCTGGGTTTGCCTGATCTGGACTGGGAAATCACCTCAGCCCTTTGGGTCGGCAGCTGAAATGGATCAAATGATTGGAGTTCTAGAAAACCTCCCACCCTCTACGTTTCCCCAAGGCCACAAAAGAAAATAAAACAGTAAGAGAAAAGAACTTCAAGAAATGGCTAAATGCTAATGAGAGCTAGTCACATAGGATGTTACGTGGAGGAAGGAAATCGGAATAGAGAAACCAAGCTTCCGATATACGAGAACATGAAGGAGACGGTTGCCTTCCCCAGTCATTTAAAGCTGGGCCATTTTCACTAGCCATGTGGTGTTCCTGCTGGCAAGATGCCTCTTGCTGCTACCAAGAGAGGTTTGGGGCACTAAAGGCTTCTGACAGGTGCTGTCTCCATCAGATAATAGGATCCACGGTGGTCTGGAAGCATTATTTCATGGACCACGTTTGTGATTACAATATTGATTTGCTCCTCCTATCACATTTCTTATAACTGTGTTAGCATCTCAGGGAAAACAATACATTGTGATTTGATTTGATACCTGTATATATTTTTTTCAGGGTAAATGTAGATGGTTTACTGTGTTTGTTTATTTTTTCCTCACAAGGTAAAGCTGTTATCCAATAATTAACTAAACAGAGGATTTAAAGAAACAAAGTACCTGAAGTTGGATTTGAGTTATTATTATTTTTTTTCCACCTGCATTATGTAGAAAAACTTCAGGGAAAGACAGGGAGAGAAGATATTTTAAGCAGTTGCTGTAACAGGGTTAGAAACATCACTGTTGGGGGCCAGCAGGTGGCATAATGGTCGAGGTGCTGGACTCTTATGTAGTCAACTGTGGTTTGAGTTCTGGACCTGGCAGCTTGAAACTCATGCTGGGTGTATGTGCATGCATGCCCGAAGTCCTGAGAGGAGAGTGGATCGTTGTGTGGTTTCTTGCTTTCTGTCTGGTGAGTGCATACGACCCATAGCAAGAAAAAAAAATTCTGTGATTATAAAATCATAAAAGAATAATTAAGCGAAGATATCATCTGATTCTCTTGGAATTTCTACTGCTGATATTTGCAAGAGCTAAGAAGGCCACTGCATGAAACTCAGAAATACTCTTTTTTATTCTCTCTTCATCTTATTGGATTTCTGGCCAAGGCCAAGGACTAAGAGCTGAAGGAAAGATTGGACCTCAGCTCACTCTCAAGATGAAATGAAATGCCAGGTGTGCTGTAACTGCTGTCTGAAATTTCCAGAGAAGTTTAAAAAACTTCACAGCTGTCTGCTTTGTGAATAAAAATCCCCCCAAATTAACCATTCCAAAGTAGCTTTGGACCAACTTTTCAGTTCTTTTATAGCAGGGTTGAGAAATCTTGTTCTGATCTATGTGGGTTTACATAAGGTACATGTGGATGTTGAGGGAGAATATGTTACATATCAGCTGGGAACTGGAAAATTTGCACAGTGTGAAACACGAAACCATTGTATATAAGAGACACATCTTCATTAATTTTGTGTTAGTTAAAATATTGACACTTTGATTGGAGTTTTGGTGGTAATCATTCTGTTTAACTAATACAAATGGTCCAGCTAGACCAGCACTTAGAATACCTACCCTAGATGCTTCAGAATTACTAACAACAATTGGATGGCTTTCAGAACAATAAGAAAGCAAGCCATAGACTGAGAGAAAATATTTACAAAAGATAGCTATATATGACTTACTTAAATACAGAAAAAAATATTAAAACTAAAGAATAAGAAAACAAGCAACCTAATTTTTTAAATGGACAAAAGAGAGCAAGTAGGTGGACCAGAGATTAACACACTGGATTCCACATGGCCGACTATGTGGTTCAAGTCCTAGGCCTAGTGGCTTGAAAATCACACTGTGTGTGTGTGTGTATGTATGTCCAAAATCCTGATAGGAGGATGGAGGAGAAGGGATTGCAGCATGGCCATCCTCTCTGAGAGGTGACTTCTCACTTTTTTTCTCTCTCTGTCTCTGGTGAGTACACATGCCCTATAGCTAACCTTAAAAAAGGGGGGAGGGGGAGGAGATCTGAGCCTCAAAGTCATTAGGGAATTGCATGTTAAAACAATGAGATACCACTATGCACTTATTAGAATAGCCCAAATCCAGAACACTGATAACATTAAATGCTGATCTCAGATATGGAGCAACGAGAACTCTCATTCTTTGTTGGTGGGAATGCAAAAATGATACAGTCATTTTGGAATAGTTTGGAAGTTTCTTATGAAACTAAACGTTCTCTTACTATATAATCCAGCAATTACACTACTTGGTGTTTACCCAAGGGAGTTGAAAACTTATTTCTACACAAAAACCTACACTTGGATGTTATATTTTCTTTATCTTTAATTGACATTTGGAATCAACCAAGATGTCCTTTAAGAGGTGACTGGATAAACTGTGGTATATCTAGATACTAGGCTATTATTCTTTGCAAAAAAGAAATGAGCTATCACATGAAATGGCAAGGAGAAATTTTAAATGCCTATTATGAAGGAATATTATGAAGGGAGTCAATCTGAAAAAGTTGTACACTGTGTGATTTTAACCAAGTGACACTCTGGAAAAGATAAAACTATGGAGGCACTGAAATGATCAATGGCTACCAGGTGTTGTGGGGAGAGAGGGATAAATTTATGGGGCATAGAGGAATTTTAGGGCAGTTAAACTACTCTGTATGATACAATAATTGTTGATAAATATCATTATACATTTGTACAAACTCATAAAATACGTATCACCAAGAATAAACTCTAAAGTGAATTAAGGACACTGGGTGATAATGATGTGTCAATGTAGGCTCATCAGTTGTAACAAATGCATCACTCTGGTGGGGAATGTTCATAATGGAGGAGGCTGTGTGTGTTGGGCTTGTCTAGAAACCCAATGAAGAGAGAAAAAGTACAGAGAGTACATGGGAATTCTTTGTACTTTCCGCTCAATTTTGCTGTGAATTTCTCTAAAAATAATAAATGCCATTTAAGAAAATAGATGGTTGATATTTGGAGGAAAGTGGAAAATGCTAGAGAAAAGAAGCAATGATGGTAGAGAAGCTCTTTTCTTTTGGCAACATTGGTTCCTCTTCGTTTCTTAGTGACAGTACTGAAACAGCTGCCATTACTAGAGTCAAAGTGAGTAGGTGGGGCTTCTCAAGTGTTATGCCCCACAATCCTGATGATTGTCCTATTTATTGAATTTTTTTACAGTATTTTTTTTTATTATTTTCTTTTTAATTTGCTGCAGGGCACACACACTCACCAGAAAGAGAAAGAAAGAGAGAGAGAGAGAAAGTGAGAAAGCTAGTCGCCAGGTCTAGGACTCATACTTCAGTTGACCACGTGGGAATCCAGCACCAGATTACAGATACTGAAATTGAAGTTCAGGGACATTCTGTGGTTTGCATAAGGGAGCTCAGCTGGTAGAGAGGTCAAAATGCAAATACTAGTGCTTGATTTGTGAGTACCTTTTCCATGATTCTTAGTTCTGGTCATATGTCATCTGGAGCTCCTAGGCAGCTGTTAAAAATGCATGTTCTCAGGTCTTACCTGGAGCTCTGGGTAGGGGGCTGGGAAACCATGAAATCTCCTATTAGTTTGTTTATTCAGCAGATTTGCAGGCTCTACCTTTCAGAGCCATGCCCCAGGCCTGGGCTGAATAGATTCTGTCCATCCTTGGGCCAGGACTGCAGCAGAGGGGCAGGGAAGTGGCAGAAGGGCCGTGTTGACACCTGAAAAAGAGCCAGGCAGTGTGGAGGTCAGTTGTGTCACCCATGACCACAAGGACACTGCAAGGGCCTCTTCCTCATTTTGTATGGGAATTTCAAATGCCTTTCTCCCTGCTAGTGCAACTCCTAGTGGTGTTGATGCTCCAATGTGTTTGTGAAATGACTATACAAATGCTTCATTCTCACCATAGCTCAGAACATAGTCTGGCCTTTTAGGAAGATGAGGGTTAAATCTGGGGAAGAGACTGAAAGGGAGTGAGTGACTTCTAGAGAGCAGGACTCTAGTCAATGGGCAGAGGAGAAGGAGCAGAATGTTCTGAATGTCTGGGATGCACCAGACCTTTTATGTCATTCTCTTACTTCACACAACCACCCTCTGAAGGAGCCTCCACTGCACTGAGCAGACAATGAACCTCTGAGGTTCAGAGAATTCACGTGTCCTGCTTGGGCCCACATGGCTAGTAATAGAAAGGCCAAAACTCTAATCTCTCTGTCTGACACAAAGCCTAGCCCAGAATGCTTTACTTGTGTCTCAATTTGAAAAGGGTCTTGGTCTAGAACTGTACTATGCCCTACAGATATAAGGCAATTCACAAATGCAAACCATGTTTGTCATTTTAACCTTCTTATAGCCACATTAAAAAGAACAAGTGAAACAAATTTTAATAATATTTTCATTTAACTTTATTGACCCAAATTATTGTTTCAACATACAATCAATAAAAAATTGCAGTGAGATATTTTAGAAAGGAAATGCGTTATTCACTCAAGGAAATATTCATTCATTCATGCATTCGGCAGAAATTGTTGGGTACATGCTATGTGCCAGACTCTGCTCTAGGCTATTGAGTAGAGGGGTGGTCAAGACCAAGTGCTTTCCCTCATGGAATCTACATTCTAGGAGGGAAGGTAGACATTAAGCAAGTAAACACATAATATAAATAGTTTGCAGAAAAATAAAGCCAGAAAACAGAGTATGGAAGGGATTTCTCTGATTAACTAGTGAGGAGAAGCCTTTCTGAAGAAGTGGCATTTGAGCAGAGACTGAATGAAGCCAGCATAAGAACACCTGAGTAAAGAGTGTTTTAGGGAGAAGGAACCCTAAGATGAATGGATTCTGGGAGCAGCAACTCTAGGCCAGTGTTTGAAGCAGGAGAAGGTGGAGGGAGGGAAGACCCACCCAGGGAGGGAAGACCCACCCAATCATGAGAATGGAGTCAGCTCAGTAAGGCCTCAGAGGATGTGGGAGGGATTTTCTCACATGATGGGGAGCCTTCGCAAAATGTTGAGTCAGGGAATGAGGTGCTCTGAAATATATGTTACAAAAGATCATTCTGGCTGTGCTATGGAGGATAAACTGGGTGGGGCCCATGGTGAGGTGGGCAATAGCAGGTTGTTACTTCAGGCAATGCAGACAGATGAAAGGATAAGTCCCACTGAATTGGGATGGGGTAAGCGAACAACAGACAAGGACCCATCTCAGGACTCTGGTATACTGATTGCCAGGTTGTATGTTGTGTGGGCACATGTTGATCATCAGAGAGCATTTTTCACATTGAGTGACATGAATTAGATTACTAAGACTACAGGGACTAGAGAATTAGGTCAGGCTCAGTTGTCAGAACTGGGCTAAGATATGGTTGCCATAATTAGATCAGGAATCCCAGAAATGCCAGCCTTTGCCTTATCCCAGCCACTTGTCTTCTCTGGGAGGGTCCCAAGGAAAACAGAGTTATAAGAAGCACATGAAAAGTAAGAGTAGCGCTTAACATTAGTTGACCTTGTACTAAAATCTCTATCATAGAGCTGGGGGGGGGCACAAGAACCATGAAATGGATATTAAAGAAGTGTGGGTTCCTTTCTCTTATGTCCATAAACAAGTCATGGGATCTTATCATGAGGGACTAGAGTACTCCTTTCACCAGCCGTAATCAATGTGAGCTTCATCAGGTCTGGACCTTGCCTAGTTTTAAGTCATATTCTCAGAGATAGAACATTCAATCTGTGCTCATAGTTGCCGCATTCATCCACCCACTCATTCAATGGCTTCTACATAAAACAAGTATCTTTGCTGACACTGGAATACAACAGAGAGGAGATATGGTCACTGAATTCTGAATTCAGAGCGCACCATCAGAAATAGCTTTTACTACATTGTGGTGAGTTCTTTGGGCAAAGAAAACAGCTCGTTCTAGGAGCACTCAGAATGGCTCCCAAATCCAGGGCAAGGGAGGATGGGGAGACTTCCCAGGGTCAGTGATGCCTGTACAGGTCCTTGTTGGAGTTATACGAGATTTGTGGTGTTTGTAAATATTGGGTTGTTGCAAAAGTCAAGACATATCTTTCCCATGCAAAATATGTGTCCTGACTTTCCCAACAAACCAATAATAAAGATCCACTGTGCTGTGGGCTTGGCCGGCAGTCTCCAGGGAACCCGAGTTCAGAACTGTGTTTTCAGAATGATAGCCAGAGTGATGATTCTCTGGCAACTATGTACAGTGATAAAGCCTCACTGGTATGTTTCATCTATGCTTTTCATAAATTTGGTAGAGTAAAAAGCTGGAGAATTTTAAAGGCTCAATGTTTATACCAAATTCATTTGTGTAATCTGGTATATCAAATCTGATTATCATAATCTTACTTCAATAATGAATAAACCTGACAGAGGGAAAAAACCTTTCACATTAGATACAATGGTAATTCTTTTACAGTAACATTCACAATTACATTCTTAATTCAGATTACACATCTCCTTTACAAAAATACATTTCATAGATATAAGGTGTTTTTTTAATGTTTACATTAACAAGAGGAGAGGGGTGATCAAGACCAAGCATAGAAGATTCTCTAAAACCAAAGTTTAAAGTCCATCTCTGGGCTAGCCCTGTGGTGTATTGACTAAGGGAGCCGGAAAACATGCTGGGTGTGTATATGCATGCATCTACCCCAAATCCTGAAAGGATGAGAAATGGAGGAGAAGGGGTTGCAGTGTGAACATACCCCCCATTGGGGAGTGCTTTTATCCACTCCCCCACTCTGTTTCTGTGTTTATCTTGCCAGCCAATATGCCTTCTGGACATTTTTCTATTTTTTTTTTAAGAGAGATTTTCGCTATAGGGCACATGTGCTTGCTAAAGAGACAGAGAGACTCAGAGAGAGAGAACATGAGATATCACCCTCTCAGAGGGGATGGCCATACCTCAATCCTTTCTCTTCTCAGGATTTTGGACATGCATGCACACACGTCCTGTATGAGTTTCAAGCCGCTGGGTCCAAGACTTGAACTGTGATTGGTCATATGGGAATCCAGTGCCTTAACCACTATGCCACCTGCTAGCCCCACCTTCTGGATAAAATCCATCTCCATTGCACTGCGTGATAAAGTATATCCTGTACAATGCCTGATATTTGCCTTTGTAAGGTTGCTCTTTATGGGATTATATTAACATTTATTTGCATGTCCTGAGAAGAAAAAAAATAGCTGATGTGAATCATGGGAGAGAATATGGCAGGGGTAAGTGATGGGGAATCTGAGATTGGCATTTTTCCCAATGACAATGACAATAGGTATATAGATAACTGACTAGGCATATGATTAAATTGGTTCCTCCCTTCCTCTACCATTCCTTCCCTTTCTTATTTTTTCTGTCTTTTTGTCTCTAACCTCAACACTTACTATACTTCCAGAAATGTTCAGTGTCAACAAAAACACATAAATCCATCCAAGTTCAGATAAAACCTTAAGAATAAGTTTGGGGAAGCAGCTTATCAGTATGATCACCCCCACAGGAACTAACTACTTCAGCCCATTTCTAGCCTAAAATCCTCTGGGTACACGATCATAAACTTGCGGGGGACAGCCTCCTACTGTGCATATGTGTATACCCAATACAATAGACAATATTTTGGAGAAAAACTTAAAAATCTCAAGTATCTTCAGTTGTGGAAGGGTATTTTGAAGTATTTGTTGCTGTCATCAAAACAAAGATTACAAATGATCTCCCTGCAGCTCAGTGAACACCTTCTAGGATCAAACAAAAAAACCTAAGATGGCAAAAATGCATTCAGCGCCTGCTTTATGAATTTACTTTACTTATCGCATTTCTTTTCTTGGAAATGTAATTGCTTCAGAAATACTGGGATCAGAGGGAAAAGAATGCCATCAAGAAAGTAAGCTATAGACTGGGGAAATGGTGAGGAAGACAGTTGAAGTTTGACAGAAGTCTTAGAGTTTTCAGATCCCTAACTTCTGGGCAACTGCTTCAACCTTTGCAAAGTCAGAAGGAATATTTTTATCCATTTTATTGTTGTTTTTGCTTGACACACAAAAAAGCAGACCTGGTACATTTCCAGAATTCTGCTCATGGTAGCTTGGAATAATATACCATCCAAAGAACCCCCAAAACAAACAAACAAAAAACATAATCTAATTATTGCCCAAACATAATTGTTTTGGTTTTTGCTTGTGAAAAAGCAATGAAAATGAGTAGAACAATGAAACAAGGTATTAAAATACTAAAAGGACATCAGATTAAGCCAAACTTTTTGTTTGTTTGTTTCAACAAGAGCAATCTTAAATCCCCACCTAGCTCATAAACATTATTTTCAATAATTGTATAATATTCTATACTAGAAATAAAAATTACAAAGCATTTTCTCTTGGTTATGAAGTCAGTACTTTTGAGCCTAGGACCATGCACGTGGGTACATGTGTCACACACACTCACACACTGGAACTCTCATTTCTCTTATCTTTGGGCCCCAATGTACATGCCAATATACAGATTTAGTGAGATTTCAAGCTGTTTTTTGTTTGTTTGCTTTTTAATTGTAAGTAACCAAATGCGCTGTGGTTAATTTACCCAAGCATGAACTTGGCGGGGGTGGGCTTGCTTACAGAATCAGCAGGAGGCTGAAGAAACAGGTTTGGGAGCCATCAGGAACCAAGGCAG